AAAATAAACAACAGTAAAGAAAAGAAGGCGGCGGGTTTCTTACTGAAATCGTTGTTCTCAAAGAAGTGCAGCTCGTTGTTGACGCTCCGAACACAGAGCTTCTCATCTTCAGACCATCTGGGACACCTGAGTACAATCACAGACGTTAAACCCCATCGATTAATTAGTCAGCGAGTGCAGGCAGAGTGATCGGACCAACCAGGAGTCCACTTTCTTCTGATACAGAGCTTTGATCATCCGGCCACTCGGTAACTCCCACAGCTGCAGGTTGGCGTCACCCTGAGGACTGTCCTGAGTCTCTGCAAAGAAAACATAGCATCTCAATCAGTTCTTGGATGTTTCCTCCTACATCATTATGTATTGTCGATTCTTACTGGTGTACGGTTGCCAGGTAACCAGGATGCTGTTGAGGGGAGAGAACTCCAGCAGTGCCGTTTTTGGGAGATCCAAGGTGGACACCACAGAGCCATCGGCGCATTTTACCACAGACACACTGAAGGACAGGCGGACAGTCAGTCAATGAGTCTGCATCTCGTCGCTTGGAAGCAAAAATGTTAAAAACCGACCTGTGTCCATTGCACCAGCCAAAGAGCGTCCCGTCCCTGCTGAAGGCGACCGACCTGCTGGGCCGACTGTCCCTGAGGAACACAGACACGGTCACAGCACGCCGCTGGGGATTTGTTTGTTTGTTTGTGGTGTGAGTGGAGGTACCTCTGGAAGAAGGAGGCATCCTCACACTGCGGGGGTCCGCACAACAAAGATGTCCCCTCTGATCCACGCACTGAAACAAGAGCTCACAGTGAAGCTAAACGCCTGAATAATACGAACAGGGAGAGACGCAGCCTGATGCCTGAAATATTCCCAGAATCCTCTGGACTGACCAAGCTGCTGTACCCACTGATCTCTATTTACTCACTGGATCGCTGATTGCCCGTTTGTAGTACAGGGCGGAATGAAGCCATCGGCCGCCATATTGGTACTCCCTAGTTAGACCGGTCGCAATGTAAACTACACGTGTGCTACAGCATAGACGAATGATGATGTCCTCATTTTCAGGGGAACTTAAGACTTTTTTAAGATTTCAAGATTTTACAGAAAGACTGAATTACAAGTACATGTCTGTTAATGCGGGCTGCTCAGTGGTGCAGTGGCTAGCACTGCTGCCTTGCAGCAAGAAGGTTTTGGGTTCTATTCCCAGCCCGGGGTCTTTCCGCATGGACTTTAATGTTCTCCCTGAGCATGCGTGGGTTCTCTCCAGGTACTCCGGCTTCCTCCCACAGTCCAAAAACATGACTGTTAGGTTAACTGACTTCTATAAATTCTCCCTGTGTGTGTGTGAATGGTTGTGTGTCTCTGTGTTCCCCTGCGATGGACTGGCGACCTGTCCAGGGTGTGCCCCGCCTCTCGCCCATTGACTGCTGGAGATAGGCACCAGCATCCCTCGCGNCTATTTCATTGTCTTAAATTCAGTGTAAAAAGGGAAGGGTTACTTCAGGTCACAGACATTAGCAATGGATTGTGGCGTCCAACACTCAGCCAATCCCGTTATGTTTTCTTAGTCACGTGACGTTTGTGGCGCTCATACTGAAGGAAAACCAGCATGACGGAGCCGGTCATGCAAGCTAACGCTAACTCAACTACAGAAAAATGAAAGTAATAAACTCACTGTTGAGTCGCACAACTGGAAAAAAAATAAAATCGCACAGTGTGAGCCCGGCTTAACGCGATTTTGTAAAGAATGCAATTTGTGAAACTCAAACTGAAAAAGAGAAGTTCTTTAACAGCTATTGGAAAAAATTTAATATACATAAAATTTGGAAAATAATGGATAAAAATAAAACGATTAAACAAATAAAACAGCAAAGTTACTCTCAAAACATCTTTTTCATTAAAAAAAACGTTGTTTCTAGATTGAACATTTTTCCCTTTTCAAAGTTTGATTTAACCACGTTTAAATGAAATGAAATCTGGTCGGCTGATATTACCTGAACTGTAAGAGGTTTTTTTTATTCCTCTCGGGCCGATAAGCGCGATCAGCAGCCAGACCGCATGAAGCGCAGCATATCACCTCTCTGTTTTCAACTAATGACGGCAAATTCAAAGCCTTCCGAACAAATGAATCAGTTTGACACAATTGGCCAAAACTCAACACGATTAATTTAATATGGCTTAGAATGGCGACATCTGCTGGATGCTATCAGAACTACAATCGAGTCGATCTCCTAATGTCCACATTATGTCATGGTTGAACTCGTTTGTTCCATAATTAATGGTTTTAATAATGATTATATAAACAAATAATAAATAAACTAATATCTGAACTGTGAAACTGCAATATAATAAACAGCCCCTCTGATGCATAACAGCTATGTGAGGCGAGTTTGGTCCTTTCAACGAATACTAATCTATCCTGTTTTCCAAGCTATATATACATTCGGTTATTGGAGGGGTTAAAAAGCATGCCTCTCTACAGACAGATGCAGAGTTTGAATCCCACTATTTTAAATAATTTTTTTTGCTAATTTATAATAATTAGAACAATTCTAGGCCTGTGCAGACTAATATTTGATTGTGCTGCACCTACAACTATATAAACACATCAATAAATTATCTGATAGTTAAAATAATTTGAACCAACTAAACAGATGATTGTATTTAAGGAGAGGCATCAATTGTTTAGATGCGGCGTGTGAATAAATATCAGTTATAAATGAATCAGTGCAGTGTTTCCCACACGATTTTAGGAGACTGTGGTGGGAGAGTCTCTGATGTCACACACACTCTACTTTCTTTTAAAAAAATATAAATATAAAAAATATAACTGCGGATGTCTGGGAGACAGCGATTCGCCTACATTATTTTAAAACATTTAAAATTCATTCATTTATTATAGACCAAATAACATTTTACATTTACATCCTGAGGGTAAACATGCTGCTGCTCTGACTAGCGCACTGAGAGGGACTCCTGTGGAAGCAGGAGAACGGGGTTGGGACGGGGGAGACGCCCCACGGCAGCACCTGCCGCTGGAGGACAAGAGTAGGAACGATACGTGCTTTCACCTAAGAGTCTGTTAAAGCCGCCAGTCACACCAGAAAAGTCGCTAGATTTTGTCGCTAGTCGCTTTTTTGGAAAAGAGTCGCTGGAAGGGTCTGAAAAGTCACTAAATATAGCGACAAAGTCGCTGAGTTGGCAACACTGCACGGGCGAACCGGGCAGCATTTTTCTAAAGGAGGGCGGAACGCGCGCTTTGAAAAAATATATACCGGTAGCATAAACAATTTGTCTCTCTATAGCGCTGGGTTACGGGTGGTATGAAAGTACAGCTGTGTCTGATAAACTGACAGATCTTTTTGTTGTTTTCTCTCTCTCTCTGTGTCTATATCAGACTGTGGCGGGCATTAATGGGAAACACTGCAGTGGATGGAGTGAACCTTTATTTTAGATCTGTCTGCATGAAGCAAACTATTTAGAATCAATTCTAAACTAGATTTAAATATACCATTTGTTTCCCTGTATTTGAATAAAACTGTAAATGGGAAAAAACCTGCGGTTTGGGCAGCGATTCTGATGAAATTAAATACTTCAGCAATAATTAAATTATTAGAATTTACTGTGAAGCTTGATAAAAAGCGTGACGTGACAAAACCTCGCTAGCAGCGGTCACATGACTGGGTGCACTCGAAACACCTCTCAGCGAAAAACGGTAGAAGCAGACTGACTCAAGCCTAACATCAGTACTTTCCACTCATTGCGACTATTCAGAGGCATTATGGAGTTTAATATGATACAAAAAACAAACTGCAGCACTCTTCTGCTCATTCTTGTAGTTTGTGCTCTCACTTAACCACCATCTTTTTTATATTTTTTCACCTTACCTGGAATACCATTGAAACCACTCGATTGTTTGCTGGGCCGGACCTATTCAACATGGTTGTAAAAATCTGTTTACTTCTTTCTGGTCGTTTTAAATCATGATTTCAGTTTCACCTGCGCAGGTTTAATGTTGTTTTCTTTTACTGAAACAAATAAAATAAATAAACATGGATGCCCTTTACCCAATGTACATAAAGGTCTGCAGCCTTATAGGTGTAGCTAGGTGTATAGTTGTAATGGGTCAAATAAAAAGGATATTTACCTCTATAATAAATGTTCCTTTTTTATTCAAATTGAGACTTGGGTATTATGTTGTAGCCATGGTGTCATTTTTATCATATAAATGGAAGAAGAAAGAGAAATATCTGCTTTAGGAATCGGCTAAACGCCCATCAGGGACCGGCTATACCCATGTCAGAATAATCTGGTTAGATCAGTGACATACTCGCCGCCTCCTGTTGATTAGAGGCTGAGCTTCTCTTATATTAAAGATGCATTTTATTATGTGTTGCAGCTTTGTTATCAAGTACTTGATGAAGAGTTTTAAACAGGAATGGATCTGGATTTAAAAAAAATAAAATAAACAACAGTAAAGAAAAGAAGGCGGCGGGTTTCTTACTGAAATCGTTGTTCTCAAAGAAGTGCAGCTCGTTGTTGACGCTCCGAACACA